CTTTTACCAAAAAATCATTGGATCACAAGGTTGATTGTGTTGCATACACATCAACAAATCATCAAACATGGAGGAGTGTTAGACAGACTCACACAAATCAGACAGCAGTACTGGATTCCTCAGGGAAGACAGTCAGTCAAATCAATCTTGAAGAATTGCATGATATGTCGAAGGTACGATGCAAGAACTTGCTCTTATCCAGGGCCACCACCCCTGCCAAAGGAACGAGTGGTCCATCTACAACCTTTCGAAACGACAGGAGTAGATTATACAGGAGCAATATATCTAACAGGGACTGCAGATAAGCAACCTATCAAGGCATACATCTGTCTGTTCACCTGTGCTACCACCAGGGCAGTACATCTAGAGGTAACACCCGATATGACTGCTCAATCATTTATTCAAGCTTTCCGCAGATTCGCAGCACGCCGATCATGCCCTAAGCTGATGATTTCAGATAATGGAGCAAACTTGGTAGCTGGAGAAGCGTGTCTACGGGAAATCTGTTCCCATCCTGCAGTTACTTCCACACTGGAACAGCGTCATTGCAGATGGAAATTTATCCCTCCGAGAGCCCCATGGCACGGAGGATTTTATGAACGGTTAATAGGAACTGTAAAAAGATCCTTGAGAAAATCTCTACACCGTCAGAAAATCAATCTTCAAGAACTCCAGACAGTAATCACGGAAATAGAATCAAGGGTGAATAACCGGCCGTTGACTTACTTGTCTGAGGATCCTACTCAACATGAGCCATTAAGTCCTGCCCACCTAATGTATGGAAGACTTCTGACTCCAGTACCATCTCTAGTGGATGATGAGATCAGAGATCCCTCATATGTGGGTCAGAGCGAGTTGGTTCAGGGGTATAAGCATCTGTCCAGCATAATCCAAAAATGGAATGATGTTTGGACAAAAGAATATCTTACATCTCTACGAGAACATCACTATGGGGCCAATGTCCCACATAATATATCTAATCTCCAACCTGGCGATATTGTCTTGGTAGACAGTGATGGCCCTAGGGCTGACTGGCCATTAGGTAAAGTTGTCTCAGTCCATCCAGATAGTCAGGGGATTTTGAGAATAGTCAAAATCCTGTCTAAAGGAACAACTTCCCTGAAGACATTGGACAAACTCATCCATATGGAATCAGTGAGTCAGCTGCAGTTAGATCCTGAGAGACCTCAAGAGACTCTAACTCCACAAGACCCACAGACTCCTAACAGACACAATCGTCTACAACGGACAGCAGCACAAAAGTGCAAGCAAAATTTGCACTTGTATTATCAATCCAATGGAGAGTAAATAAATACATATGGTTACTATTGTCCTAAGTATTGGACTCTGTGCCAGTTCTCTCCCTCTGGAAGATGTGGGAAATTTTTACCCACCATATCTAATAATCATCTAAGAAATGTATAATTTCTATATCATATCAAAATCATATCTAAATCATATCAAAATCATATTAGAATCATTATAGATTCATTATATAGCTTGATCCTGGATGACAATGGCACCATGAACACGTACGCAACAGGGGCCCTTTTGATGCCTACGTGACTTTGTACATGATCTCTCAAGGATCCAGAATCTTCTAGAAGGATTTGTTAATTAAAAAACTATTGGAACATTTATTCAACATCCGGTAGGGATAATATCGAATCCTTAATAAGAATCAGTGGTACTTTCAAATACTACTTATAATCTTTAAATCTTATATCTAATTATATTATAATCACATCTTATCTTAATCATAAGTCTAGACTGTAAAAATAATCAATCAATATTCATAGAAGGCTACCGTGCACAGAGAGCATGGCAGGGCGATGGGGGGAGTGAAGCGCCCACCAACAAAGCCCAACGGGACTCCGCGTTTGTTTACAATTGAGTGAACAAGTGACTAATCCTTAGCGAACATTACCAGCTCAAGGACACCTTATCTAATATATTTTATCACCAGTGAATACTCTCTAGAACTGGGGGAGTACCTGGACAATATCTACAAGGAAAATCCTAGAACATTTATAAAAATAAGAGTGTAGTGGAGATCAGAGTGACGCGGTTTCCACCACCTTCATTCCTATTCTTTATCAAATATCATTCTTCTGCAACGCAGTTAAAGAAAAATCCAAGTAGCAACGCTACCAGATCATCATACAGCAACGCTGTAGCAAAATATCGTGACTAAACTCAACAAGAGAGAGTTAATCAGTCTGGCAAACTTGTCAGACAGGCACCCCGACTGGCAGAGAAGTATATTGAAGGTTATTTGGTATATGATTGGCCAATTGTATGCTTGTGTAGCTTTAATATCCTATAAATCTGTCTGTTGGTTAAAAAGCGAGGCTAAGCCTCACATATCAGTAAGTTTATTAAAATTGTAGTGTAGTTGTGAATCTTATCCAAGCACTGAACCTCATGAGAGTCCATTGTGTCAGAAAATAATTCGGCCTCAATAAGTAAAAACCTCACAAGTGTCCATAGTTTTGGAAAAGATTCAGTCAAGCTAACTGTATAAATTGAATATGTCTGCATATATATTTGAATATATAAATTAAGTTATCAATTGCTTGCTTAGTTAATTTTTAAGTTATCATATAAGTTCATTTAATTGAATATAATTTCTAGTACTTAATAGTATTTAGACTACATTTAAGGTCATTTATTATACTTTTACAATTTAATTTGTTGTTTATAGTATAAGTACATATTGGCTGTTAAGTTATGGTACTAGGTTAGACTATGTATGTTTAAATCTCTGATTTAAACAGAGCCAGTGTTCAGTCAGATAACTGAATTTATTAAATCTTATCCTTGTATAAAATACAAGCTGATGTGAGATCCCTGTCTACAGGTGGATTGGAACTTCTATCAACTAAGTCATTCACCCCACCTGTCCCATACAGCCCACAATCTGTCATTAGGAAAAGAGGATCTAGGATTTACAACCCTAGCTAGAGATTTTAGTTGAATTAATTTGCAGACAGTAAATTTTTAATTTAGTTCAGTACAAGTCCCTGGTAGTCTCCTCTTATATCAATCCCAGCAGGTTTTTCCCACATATATAAATATATATATATATATATATATATATATATATATATATATATATATATATATATATATATATATATATATATGTATATATATTGGTAGCAGTCTTTCTTGTAAACATATATTATTAAATATGACCGAAAAAGTAAGATTAATAATTCTAACACGAATGTTCTCAATATTTCTTATGTTTCTTTTCACTATCGATGGTAATTGAAAAATCAATTCTCCAAAATTCATTTTTATTTCTAGTCTGATGTGACACTTGAACGCGTTTCGTAATAACTTATTACATTTTCAAAGACTTTACTTTACACACACACAACTATAACCTGCTAACACTTAACAGAGTTCTACTATGCTATAATTAAAACCTCTCTTAACCTTTTATCTTATATACCTGCATTTGGGTGAGGTGATATGTTACAACAGTTTTGGATGAGGTGAAAACAAACTTTCAGCACAAGACAGAACACGAAACAATGGGTATAATATTGGGTAAGTTAAAGGGAAGAATGGAAGTAACTGCAAAGGTCCTATTGGCCCATATTTCTTGATGCTTCTATATTGGTGCGGAGTCTTGTAGTGGGTAGAATATAGTTGTGCATTAATTGGCTGTTGATTGCTGGTGTTGACTTCTTGATGTGTAGTGCCTCGCAGATATCAAGCCGCCTGCTATCGCTGTATCTATCGATGATTTCTGTGTTTTTTGTTCAGACTTCTCTTGTGATGGTCTGGTTGTGGGAAGAGATTATATGTTCCTTAATATAGCCCTGTTGCTTATGCATCGTTAATCGCCTGAAAAGGGATGTCAACAACAGCTTCTCCAATGGTTTCGTTGAAGACATCATAAGAAGGAAGGTGAAATGCCATGCAACCTCTGAAGAGACAACTAACACAACACCTATACCCCCTATTAGACTATTTTACAGGAACTTCTTTTCCACAGCTCATAAAACGAAGGAAAGGGACCTGAAAGATATTGTTAATAGGAACGTCATCTCTACAGACAAAAATCAGAAGATACAATTGACGATTTACTATAAAACCAAAAAAACGGCCAACCTACTCATGAGAAACTCCATCTCCAGACACAAAGCAGAACGCTTTAAAAGAGACCAATGTCGTCTATGCCTTCAAATGCCCACTTGGAGTCTGTAAGCCTCAAAGAACTCAGTATATAAGCAAAACAACAACATCTCTTTCCAGGCGATTAACGATGCATAAGCAACAGGGCTCCATTAAGGAACATATAATCTCTTCCCACAACCAGACCATCACCAAAGAAGTCTTAACAAAAACCACAGAAATCATCGATAGATACAGCGATAGCAGGCGGCTTGATATCTGCGAGGCACTACACATTAAGAAGTCGACACCAGCAATCAACAGCCAATTAATGCACAACTATATTCTACCCACTTCAAGACTCCGCACCAATATAGAAGCATCAAGAAATATGGGCCAATAGGCCCTTTGCAGTTACTTCCATTCTTCCCTTTAACTTACAAAATATTGTACCCATTGTTTCGTGTTCTGTCTTGTGTTGAAAGTTTGTTTTCACCTCATCCAAAACTGTTGTAACATATCACCTCACCCAAATGCAGGTATACAATCAAAGCTGTTTAAACTCTGTTTAGTGTTTGCAGGTTATAGTTGTGTGTGTGTAAACTAAAGTCTTTGAAAATGTAATAAGTTATTACGAAAAGCGTTCAAGTGTCGCGTCAAACTAGAAATAAAAATGAATTTTGGAGAATTGATTTTTCAATTACCGTCAACAGTGAAAAGAAATATAACAAATATTGAGAAAATTCGTGTTAGAATTATTAATCTTACTTTTTCGGTCATATTTAATAATATATGTCTACAGGAAAGACTGCTACCAAAATATACTAATATATATAATAGATATATATTTAATTTATTATGACATTCTACAGGAGGCCTTATTCAAGAAGGAAATTTCATCTCGAGGGTTCATCTGCACATAAGGCGTCTGTGTGCTGACCTGCTTCCTGATGCTGTGGCGCTTGTAGATGCCTTTGGACCACCAGACTTCATCTTACGCTCAGCACTTGGAAATGCTGATGGAAAGGTAACAATACAGAGTATTGCAGTTGCATCTCTCTGTTAATGAGTAATGTGGCCAAATACAAAAGGGCCAGGGCTTGTCACTGTCTATATCAGTAACAAAACTATGAATAACCATGGAAGTTAACATACAACTCTCAGATTACATTTGATTTGGTTTATATGCTTTTTTGTCTGTAAATTGTTATTTACTGCATGAGATTTCTCTCAACATAGTCACACTTTATGCATCCTCAAAATCTAGAAAATTCTTGATAATTTGTAAGGCTTCTGGAAAAATTGCATGCGATCAAAAGAAAGTTTCTAGATTTCATGTATTTTCAAGTTGGGTATAAAAGGATCTGAGGTTTGTTCAGTCCTACCACATGATGTGGATCTGTTCCAACCATGTGCATTTCTGGGTTAAGCGCCTTGTGTTTTCCTGAAGCTATCTTGCTGAGAGTCTCCCAAACGACTAGATCACATCAGCCATGGAGTTCATTTTAGCCTACCAGGCACCTGTGCTAGCCTGCTTCCCCCCCCCTCATAGATTCACAGGAAGCAGGTGACACACTATCACGTTACTGGGAAAGACACCCCAGTGTCTTTCCCAATGGGGTCTTAATGGGAAAGTCAGTGAACCAATACAGACCACTGCTGGGTTCAAAAGAGATTAAACCATCACAATTCACCAAATGAACTCCCCCAACATTGTGAACGAACAATTTTAAATCTCTCAAGACTAATGTATGCTCATTTGCTCCACCCCTCGCACTTCTTTGGGGAGGGAGGGGGGTCGGCAGGGCTCACTCTCCACTGGTTTGAGCAGTCATTTCCTCCTCTGATGCAGCATGTGCAACATATCTGTAGTGGGGCTTCTGAGTCATCAGTAAGCCACGGCTGGACCCAGTGCTTTTCAACCAAATGTCACTTTGGAATTCATCCTGTGTGGTTTTGTTTGGTATATTTCTGGTGTAATGTGGACCTGGTCTTTTAAAGTGCTTAGAACTGCATGTGCTCAGGGTTACCTTCCCAGAGTTCTCAGAGTTCTCCTCTCTGGTGTGTTCGGGAGTTTGCTCTCTTAGAGGGAACTCTCTTAGAGTTCTCTTTAAGAGTTCCTCTTAGAGAGAACTGTAGAGAATTCGATCTCCTGCTTAGGGTTGCCCTAGCCTTGGATGAGTCAGGGGTTTCGTTGCCCCTCTGTCTTGACCTGGATCAGGCGCAAGTGTTGGCTGGTGGGGTGTACTGGTGGCTCGCATGGTTGTTCATATGGTATGCTGAGGTCGTCCTTCACTTAGTTTACCCTTTAGGCCCTGGAAATCCCCTACAGGTTCAATGTGGTCAAAGGTTATTCCCTCCAATCCCATTCTCGCCTTGCATGAATCTAAGGGCCCACATGACGATGATCATTATTTCTGCCTCCACCATGCCACCTGCTGGATGGCATGGTGGGTTTTGTGCTCCCCATGGGGCTCTCTTATCTGACCCTCCAGATGAAGTTCATGAGTATTAGACGGCTACCACTTTATGGGTTCATTTTGCTCGTCTACAGCAGTCTAGGTTTTGTGCTTGGTTGGATGCTTGGAGCTGGCTTGCCTTCTGTTTTGGGAGATGGAATTGGAGGCGTTGGTGAACTCCACCTTGGCTCCGTCTGCACCTCCTCTTGCTTCCCCTTCGGCTGAGATTTGGCCTGTGTCATCCCTCTTCCCCTACTTATAGCCCCAAAGTGTGTGAGGTTTTCTGGGTCAGGGTAGGGTTTAGCTTGGAATGTGGCTTGGCTGTATTCAGAGGTGGCTTTATCTGATTCAGGCTGTTGATCCGGCTGGTCCCGCCGAGGATTTTGGGTTTTCCTTCCGGCCATCCATTTCTTCTGAAACCTCTCCCTTAGACTCCATTTTTCTTATTCCAGAGGGTGGGTATGGATGATGGCTCTACCCTGGTGCCTTCCTGGTTGGTTTCCAGGGTGTGGGTGAAGTCACATAGGGGCCCGTGGGATCCCTTGAACCCCAAGTAGATCTTTGTCCTTTTAGACAAGGGCCTTTTGCTCCAGAGGGAGGGTTTTTCATATCCCAGAAATCCAAGGAAACAAGCCAAGAGGCTAGTTTCTGTGGACCTCTGGGACCCTTCTTGGCTTGTCTGCTTCCTTTTGGGTGGGGTGTTTCTCTTGCCATTATCAGGTCTTTTTCCCATTTGGGCTCCCATGTGTTTGTACTCTTGGCTTGGGTCATTGTGGCTCATTGTCGTGTCTTGGCTCACTTCGACAGCTGTCTGGTATTGACTCCCAGCCAGTCTCCGTGTCTGCTGGTCGGGGTTCGAGTTTGTCCTGGGTTGCCAGGCTTGGTTCCTTCTGGACAGCTAGTAGTACTATTGGTTCCATTGCAGGTTCAGATTTGGATGCCTGGAGTTGGCTTGCCTTCTGTTTGCCAAATGGCTTGCCATTTGATGCATCACGTTAGTGTGATCTCTGTGTGTAATAGTGTATTGGTTGTTAGGGCTTGTTAGGGGTGTCAATTGGCTTCGCCTTCCATCTGGCAGCCTTGCCCTGGCTGCTGCTGCTCCACTGTTTGTGGGAGTTGGGTTGGCTCTGGGTGCCTTGGTAATTGCTCTGGCACTTGTGCAGGTCTTGCACTTTGCTCTCCCACCTTGTGGGCTCCGCTAGCACTGCACTTGTTCAGGGCAGTCCCCACTGGCTGCTTCGTTACCAGCTTCTTCTTGGGGTTTTGGAGTTTTCCTTCCCGGGTAACTTCCTCCTACCTGTGTGGCTCGTGTTTGCAGTTGTTTGGCTTATGCTGCAGGGGGTGGATCCCTAAGCTCTGTGTTCCAGCTCCTATGGGGTTTTACCTAGGGGTTCCTTGTTTGCACCGGTGAGGTGGGGGGTTAAGCGGTTTGCTTTGGTCACTGCCTCCTTGGGGTTGGTCGTTGTTTGGAGCTCTTCTGCCAGGCTCTCAAGGTTTGGCTGCCCACACTGTACATGTCCTGTCGGGGTCCATTGTCCCTGTGGTCAGTTTTGGCCCAGTTGCTTCCAGTTTCATGGGCTGGCCCTTCTGGACCTCTTCATGTAGTTTTTCCAAGCCATTCGGACACCAAGCCTTAGACTTCTTTGTATTAGTGTGATTTTGGTTCTTTCTTTTTGTTCGGCTCCATTCCCTTTTGTGAGCCTCTTGCGAGGGTGTGCTTGGTTGATCTGGTCAGGGAGCAGGTTCTGTACCTTTCCCCTCGAGCCAGCAGTGTCTCCTGTTCCTGGCTGGGATGGAGTCTACCTCAGGAGTGTTCTCCCGGTTCCCTGGTGGTCGGATCAGCTTTGGTTTAGGTGCTTCTTGGTTCTGAATCCAGCAGATGCGTGGAAATTTGAACTTTGCTGTGATCGTTTACATGCTGGGTCAAGTTTGGTTGCAAACTTGGTTGCAAACTTCTGGGTCATCCCTTCTGCTTCTCTCACGACTGCTGGGTTTGTCCGGGGGCCTTGCGTTGGCTGCTGCGTTGCTGGCTTCCTCTTCTGGCATTTTGGAGTTCAGTGCCTTGGTATCTTCCAGAGCCCTGCCTCGATGTGTTCATGGACGCGTCGTCTCTTGACTGGGGCTTTGTCACCAGTGTTCACCAGGCCGCCCAGGGGCGGTGGGGTCCGTCCTTCCATCGGGCCCACAGTACGGTGCGGGAGTTCGCGGTAGTGTGGATGTCGCTTTGGAGGATTCGGGTCGCTCGCAGATCAATGATCAGGCTCCATTCGGACTGCTTCCCAGTGGTTCATTGCCTGAACCAAGGGGCTTGATGCGGTCCTTGGTTCTTTATTAGGGCTGGTCACTTCGGGTGACTCGTCTGCTGAATTCTCGAGGTTTGGCTCTCCTAGCGGTTCACGTTCAAGGGGTGTCCACTGTTCTGGTGGATGGTTTCCGTTCATTACCCTTTCCATGGAATGGATGGTCGACGCTGACTTATTCAGTTGACTCTGCCGGACGTACAGGCTTCTAAAGGTGGACCTCTTTGTGTCGGCGTGGACGAGGCATCTCCCGGTATATGTGGCACCCTTTCCCGACTGTGGGGCCATCTGGGTCGATGCTTTTCTGCAGGACTGGTCAAGGCGGGGTTCCCTGTACCTCTTTCCCCCCCCCCCCCCCCCCCGGTTCAACTGTTGCTCCAGGTTCTAGCTCGCTGGGAGACTTACCAGGGAAAGGTAGTTCTATTGGCCCCTTGGTGGCTGGCCCAGCCTTGGTTTCAGGCGCTGCTTGCTCAGTGATCAGATCCAGGGGTTTTCCCGCGGCCCTGCCTCTTTCAGCAGATGGTCCGGTTCGTTACGTGGCTGGTTCGATCTTTTCCTTGAGCCTTCGCGTCTGGTATTTTTATCAGGTGGCATTGGTAATGGTGTCCCACTTGCATGCTTTGTCTCAGCAGCAGTAAGAAGCTTTTTGTCGGTCCTTCCATTTCTTTTTATCTCTTCGTTGGTTTACTTCACTTTCTGGTAAGGTTGTCTTGTCCTTTCTCTCGTGGGTGTTTCAAGACCGTCATCTTATGCCGAATACTGTCGCCTCGTATTATGCGGCACTGGCGGAGGCGCTGCAGCTTGCTTTCGGCATCGATATCACTTCTGTGCCATTTCGCAAGCTGTCTCGGGCGTTGTTTCACCTCTGGCCTGTTCATGCACCACCTGAGCCATCCTGGTCATTGGACAGGGTGCTCTCTTATCTCTCATCCCCTCGGTTTGTAGTGACCCCTTCTGTTAAAAATTGCTTCTCCAAGGCTCTTTTTCCTGTTGCCATTGGCCTTTGGGGGTCGGGTTCGGGAAGTTCATGCTCTCCTTCTGTGCAGAGATTTCTGCTTTTATGGCTCTGGTAATAGGTTTGTTTGTCTGTAACTGTCTTCTTCTTTTCTGACGAAGGATGAAATGGCTGCTTTCTGGAGGGGTCCTTGGGGATGATTGGTTGGTTAGGCCAGGGCAAGCTGGGGGTTAGTGTTATGTCCGGTTGCAGCTCTCGGCCGTTATTTGCGCGCCATGGCTTTTGTGTCCAAGAACGTGCTTTGGGTTGATGC